GAGTTAACGTTTTGTTGACTTTTTCAAATATGTTAAAAATCAAATCTTTTTTATATTACGGTAGTTTCTAACGCATGTTTTGACTTATTTGAGTTATATTTGATAGATTCAGGTGGTTTGGAGGCTTGTTCTAAAGGAAAAGTTGTGTTGGATTATTAATTTTGTTCCGAAAAGTGGTAAGTATTATGGTTAACCTTGATTTAAGGGATGCAGGACATGATTGGTTTATTTTCTACGTGATCTATATGTGGGAACGATGTATATGCAAGGTGACGAGTGTATATGTGTTATCATGGGATTAAGCACGTGAGATGGTGTACAGTTTATTTCATACATTTGATTATACCATATCTTTACTTATTTTATGCTTTTACTTATTATGTACTCTATTTGGTACATGGTTTTACTTGATATGTATGCTTTTACTGCTACATGTCTTTATTTTGTCATATGCTTCTACTTGTTTATGCCTTTATTTATTGTATGTCTTTACTTGTTACATACTCTTACATGTTATTAGACAGTTTTTACTTGCTTCATGTCTTTACCTGCTTCACGCCTTTACTTGCTTTATTGCCTCCTTTTGTTTCTTGTCTTACTCTACTATTCTATGTCAAATTGTGTGACTTTTAGATTGTCCTCGTGTTTACGACTTATTGAAATCTTTATTGACATATATATGGTGAGAGTAGTTCTTGAATATCGAATTGTCTATTACTCTTTGTTCGTGTTCATATTTCCTTGGTGAATTATGAGTTTTAGTTCTCTCTTATGTTATGTTGTGAGTTTCACCATACATGATTATTTATTGGACGGGTTTATACGAATTAGTATATCGGGCTGCACACCGCAATGGTACTTATTATTGATATTAGGATCGGGTTACATGTCGCAACGGTACTTGTAATTGATATTGGGATCGGACTACACACCGCAACAGATAGGAAATCTTGTAGTTATTCTTGGTTGTTGTATTTCATTTTGGTATTGCGTTATAAGGCTATGTCGTGATGTTATTTATAGGAATCATGTTATTTATTCTCTTATTTAACTTCATGATTTAACTTGTTTCTCTACTTTGTCATTACGTTTTGCCTAATACTTGTATAAGTTTATGGTGAGTATCTTGTCATAGCCTCGTCACTTGCTCGTCGAGGTTAAACTCGATACTTACTGAGTACAAGGGATTGGTTGTACTCATACTACACTTCTGAACTTCTTCTGTAGATCCCGGTGTTGGTCTCAGTGATTGTCACGACCCAAAATTCGCATGTCGTGATGACGCCTATCTCAATACTAGGCAAGCCGACAACCTAAATAAATCACAATTTCTATTAAGTTTGAAAACATAACATTTAAATTTAACAGAAAATCCTATATAATTATTGATATAAATACACTCCCAAAATCCGGTGTCACTGAGTACATGAGCATCTAAATAATAACAAAGTATGACTCATAAAAACACTGTCTGGAAATATAGGACAGTACAATAATTGAAAGGAAAGAGAGTCAAGGTCTGCGGACGTCAAGCAACTACCTTGATAGTCTCCAACAAATGAAACTCTGAAATCTAGCAGTCGTATCTGGAAGTACCTAGATCTGCACATAAGGTGCAGGGTGTAGTATGAGTACAACCAACTCAATAAGTAACAAGACTAACATTTGGGCTGAAAGTAATGACGAGCTCAACAAGTACAGTCTAGTATAGAAATAACAGTACAGAAATGTAGGCATGCTTTCAATTTCAACAGTTAAACTCAGTACATGTAAAATAGATAAATTCTGCATGATATAAGGAATATGCCATCTTTGTATCTACATGCCAAAATATATGTTGTATGTGATGTACCACAATGGAAACCTAGTGTACTCACACTCTCAGAATACTCAATCACTCAGTACTGTATATGGCTAATCCAGTCCAGGGAACTCCATCCCAGTTATATATGTATCAACTGACAATCAGTCACTCAGTGCTGTACAAGGCCAATCTAGCCTAGGGAACTCTATCTTAATATAAATAAATAAGGCAACTCCATGCCTAGGGAACTCCATCCCTAATATAAATAGATAAGGCAACTCCATGCCTAGGGAACTCCATCCCTAATATAAATAGATAAGGCAACTCCATCCCAAATATAAAGTAACAAGGCAACTCCATGTCTAAGGAACTCTATCTTAAATATAAAGAAAATTGTGCTCACTGTGGGGGGTGCAGACTTCGGAGGGGCTCCTTTAGCCCAAGCGCTATAATAATCCAGATCCAGGCATAAATAAATAAAATATGCTGCGGCATGCAGCCCAATCCCATAAATATTACTCAAAATCTCCAGTCTCTCGGGCTCTCAATAACATGAAAATCAACCTGACATGATGATATGATGTATCAATGAATGATAACAGAGAATGAGATATGATGATGGATGTCACTGAGTACACAATTTACAATTTAAATAAATAATTCAAGAGCCAAACGACTCTTGTAGGTCCCAAAATATGGGCACGTAGCATAAACATGATCTTTAATATGAGTCTCAACTCAATTTCTCTAACATGTGGATAATATATGGATAATGATATTTATTTAATTATACAACCCCACAGAATCAATTACGCCACAATTTATATGGTGCACGTCTACACGCCCGTCACCTAGAATGTGCGTCACCTCCAAACAATTCATATAACACAAAATTCAAGGATTCATACCCTCAGAAACAAGTTTAGAAATGTTACTTACTTCAAACCGTGCAAGTTTACAAAATATGAACGTTCATTCAACCACAAGTCCAACCATACCAATTTTACCAAATTCCGACAGCAACTCGACCTTCAAATCCTCCAATCTTATTTTCAAATCTATTGGCCCAAATCCTCGAATTTCACCTTAAATACACGTAATCTAGTCGAACTAATAAATGATAATTCAATATTATTGACTAACAATGATCACAAAGTGACTTACCTTAAGTTTTCCCATGAAATCCCTCTGAAAAATCGCCCAAAATCGTGTGTTTGAAGTCTAAAAATGAGAAAGAATCTCGGAACTCCTCGTTTTAACACTTCTAGAGGTTCCGCACCTGCGCCCTTTTAGTCGCACCCGCAATCTCGTAGGTGCGAGAATCCACCCGCTTCTGCGGTTTGCCCAAGCTCTCTTGTCTCCGCTTCTGCGACCTTGAGGTCGCTTCTGCGGACTCGCATTTGCAAGGCTCAGTCTGCTTCTGCGGAGCTTGCGCTTCTCCGACCATCCGTCCGCACCTGCAATCACGCAGGTGCAGAAATTCCCTCGCACCTGCGACCACTGCCTCACAGCCCCATGCTCGTACCTACGAGAAGAGTTCCGCAGGTGCGATTACATCAGTAGGTAGCAAATTTCCAGCTTTGTTCTAAGTCCAAATTTTATCCGTTAGCCATCCGAAACTCACCCGAGGCCCCCAGGACCTCAACCAAGTATACCATTAAGTCCTAAAATATCATACGAACTTAGTCGAAGCCTCAAATCACATCAAGCAACGCTAAAAATATGAATCATACCACAATTCAACCTTAATGAAAACTAACAAATGTTAACTTCTACATTCGATGCCGAAACCTATCAAATCAAGTCCGATTACCTCAAATTTTGCACACAAGTCATAAATGATATAACTGACCTATTTCAATTTTCAGAATCAGATTCCGATCCCGATATCAAAAAGTCAACTCCCCGGTCAAACCTCCAACTTAAATTTTCTATTTTCGCCATTTCAAGCCTAATTTAACTACGGACTTCCAAATAATTTTTCGGACACACTCCTAAGTCCAAAATCACCACACAAATCTATTGAAATCATCAAAACTCTATTCCGTGGTCGTTTACACATAAGTCATCATCCGGTCAACCTTTTCAACTTAAGTTTTCATCCTTGAGACTAAGTGGGCGTTTGGACATAAGAAATGTAAAATTCCAAATAAAAGGTGAAAAAAATTCAAGTGAAAATGGTATTTGAAAATTAGAGTTGTGTTTGGACTTGAATATAATTTTGGGTTGTTTTTGAAGTTTTGTGAGTGATATGAGTAAATTTTTGAAAAATAGCCTTTTGGAGTTTTTCAAATTTTTGAAAAATTTCAAAATTATTCTTCAATTGAAATTTGAAAATTTTATGGCCAAACATTGATTTCGAAAAAAGTAAAAATTTTTCCGGAAAAAAATGGGTTTGTTTAATGTCCAAACGGGCTCTAAGTGTCTCAGTTCATTCCGAAACCTCACCGGACCCGACCCAATTATCCCGGCAAGTCACATAATAGCTGTAAATTATAAATTGAGCAATAAATAGGGGGACGAGGCTGTAATACTCAAAACGACCTGCCGGGTCGTTATAGTGGCGCTCACAAAGGTGGTTAACTCAGACTATTCAGGAGACTTGAGGTAGTGCTTTATAGCGTTTGCAGACTCTCGAGTACCCTTCCTATCCTTATTTACTGTTTATTGTACCAATTCTTTGCGGACTTTGTATTTAGTACTCTTAGTGGCTCATGTACTTGTGACACAAATCTTGGGGATAGTTTTAGACAACATTGGGTTGTAGCCTTATTATGTATTTATGAGATTTCGTTCTTCATCTTTATTATAATACTGTTAATTGTTAAACTTGCTTTGCTTATTGTTGCTAAATATTGGCTTAGACGCCATCACGATCCCAATACTAAATTTTGGGTGAATATAATGCTGTTAATTGTTAAACTTGCTTTGCTTATCGTGACACTAGGAGACTTCTGGGTGAATAATTTATTTAAGATTAAATTTTAATTAATTTTGAAATACTAAATTTTAGGTACATAATTCAAATAAAAAATATTTAATAATTAAATTTTTATAAATTTATACGTCCTAAATAATAAATATTAAAAAAATAATTAAATAACTATTCTAATTTAAATTTAAAAAGGTTAAAAAAAAGGGAACACATTTCGCACGGGGCTTTCAAACTTAGCATTGAAACATCTATAGATAGGGGTTTAGGCGTGTTTAGGGTTTAAGGCAGTAACATTCTAACAAAGGCGCACTTTTGCAACCTCTGTTTGCCTGTTTTCTCTTTTTCCAGAGAAGAGAATATGATGGACCCTAACAAAGGGAAGAAACAGAAAGTGGATGAAGAAAATAGCAACATCATTTATAGTGAGGTCGTTACTTCCATTGACAAATTGCAAGAAATACAAGACGAGCTTGAGAAGGTAAAATAATCCCTTTCTTTCCAAAGTTTATCCTTTTTCTTTTGAGGAACAGAAGGGACATCTTTTTTACCCCAATTGTGTTTAAAATCCAAGATCTTTATGTTTTCCAGTAGAGAAATTGGTGGTAATTTCCAATTTTACATTTTTTAAAGCACATTGTATATGGAATTTTGTGTGTGTGTGTGCGCGCGCAACCTTATTTATATGCTGTATGTGTGTGTGTGTGTGTGTGTGTGTGTGCTACATAAGGTCGAGAACTACATAAGCTACTTTAGGGAATAACTTCGAGTTTAGGTTCGCATAATTATGTTTTGAGTTGCAACATGTAAAGATAGTCCTCATTTAATTATCACAAAAAAAGGATTGTCTTCATTAATTTTTGTAATATTGGTATGTTGTCGTTTTATTTATTTATTGGATGGGGTGTGAGCCGTCGCATGTTTACATGATAGGTGATCCTTGACTTTGTTTTTATGGTGAAAGAAAGGCCAAAATTTGAGTTCTAAGATGCACCCAAGATTGTGACCTAGTGGTCAATGAAGTGGATGAAAACCTTGGAGGCTAGAGAGCTAAAGAATATTAGGTGCTTTCTTCCCACTAACCTAAGCTTGGGTGGGCAGAGTTACCCAGTAACTGAGCTTGGTGGGAGGCAACAAGTATCCGATTGAATAGCTGAGATGCTTGCAAGTTGGCCCAAACACCAGCCTTAGTTACTGAAAAAAGAAAAAGAAAAAATTTGATGCTAAGTTTGATGAGAATAACTTGGTTTGCATCTGTGGATTCCAGTTTATATTTCTGTTTTCTTCTCCTTTTGAGTTAAGTTGCATTATTCTACAACAACAAACCCAGTGTAATCCCACAGGTGGGGTCTGGGGTAGTGTGTACGTAAACCTTACCCCTACCTCATGAAAGTAGAGAAACTGCTTCTGGTAGACCCTCTATCCAAGAAAGATTAAGTTGCATTATTCTAATATTTCATTTTGTCGGTTGACAAGAGTTAGGAGAATTTATTGGAGGAAAAGTCTAGTAATTCATCTTTCATCCGTCAAAGTTCAATCTGCGAAACACCGTTGGAGATATTTCTAAAACCACCACCAGTCTAAACATAAATAATGAAAAGAACATAAAGAGCTGGGACAGTTTCTATATTGGTGGCACTCATAGATCTACCTTTATACGCAAGATGACCAAGAAAATATTTGTGTAATAGCTGAGAACCTTGGCGCCTAAGCTTCCCTTTCTTTGCATGCATGTGGTGGTATCTATAGCATATAAGTCGATTCCACGGTTTTTTGGAACATCATTACAAGTACACGAATACTAGCTGTTTTGCGTTTTGTTATGCTTCTCTTTCAGTTGGAATAGATGCAGATATTCTCATTAGTGCTATTCCTCTTTATCAGTAGTTCTCTTATGCCTTGGCAGACTTGCCTAGTAATTAGTTGAAGCCGTGAATTGTACATGTTGCATTTCAATGATAAAGGGGAAACCTTAATTATATTCTATTGGGATATAGGTATACGAGCTTTTGCTACTGCGTTCACTACAAAAGCTGGCTATCAGGGTATAAACTAATTTAGGTGAAACAAAAATAAAGTTTTGTTAGTTTTAAAAATGTAACTTAGAGTTGATTGCTAGATTTCATTTGTCGCTTTGGTCTTATATTTTAACAAATGAGCATTCTAATTTTGCTACCAGATCAATGAGGAAGCAAGTGATAAAGTATTGAAAGTGGAACAGGAGTACAGTGAGATCCGCAAGCCTGTCTATGATAAACGAAACTACATCATTAAAGCTATCCCGGACTTTTGGTTAACTGCTGTTGGTGATCCTATCCTGATAACTCCCTCTCTCTATGTTGGTGAAATTCTGAAGTTCTTGTCACCCAATTGACTTGTTTCATTACTTGCAGTTTTTGGCTCATCCTGTCCTAGGTAGGCTTCTAAATGAAGAAGACCTAAAGGTTGGTTCTAATTTGTTGCTTATAAAACTATGGAACTAGGTTATTGCCAAATCTACTGCTGTTTATTTGGCCAAGTTTTATCGATGTTGAATTATTACTTTTAATAAGTCAATGCTGAATTAGCATGAGGCTCTGTTGTACACTAAAATTTTGAATTATCATTTCAATACTTCTATTTTGAGTTCTGCATCTGAAAATGTAACTGCCTTATCCCATGTAGATCTTCAAGTTTCTAAGTTCTATTGAAGTTGAAGACTCTAAAGATGTGAAGTCAGGCTACTTGATAACCTTTGTAAGTTCGCTCCTGCACATGAAATTAATGTACATCGGTATATGTTGCATTTTTTTGGGAAATTCAGAATGATGATCTCCTCTTTTTAACAGAACTTCAATGCGAATCCTTATTTTGGAAATAAAAAGCTCTCAAAGACCTATACCTTCCTTGAAGATGGACCCACAACGATTTCTGGTACGACAATAAAATGGGAAAAAGGCATGGTGAGTTTCCATTTCGCAGCTTGAGATGTGACACATTCTGTACGTTCCTTACTTCGTCATATTAATGATGTTGGTTGACTCTTTGAAGGGCATTCCTAATGTAGTTGCACATAAGAAGAAAGGAAAAAAGCGATCTCGTGATAAGGAAAGGTGAGTTATGTATATGATATGAATTTAATCATATTTGGCTATTTATTGATTTTATGTTAAGACTCAACTTAATTCTCTGATATATTGTCGGAAACCTTGGTTTGCCTAATGTCTGATAGCAGGCTTGCTCATATCAAACTTTGTTGATGATAACTTCAGGGGTCCTTTGGCTCACATACTAGTTATAATGGGATATAATGCATGGATTGTTTATCGGGAATCAATAATGAAATGATTGTTATGCAATTATTAATAATGAGGAGATTGTTATACATAAATTACTCACTTTGAAAGAGCATTTTTTTCTCTAAATAGTTTAATCTCTGTATGTATCACTAATATATGTATTCTTGTTCTACATTCTATCCCGCATGTAATAATACATAGATTCACACATAACTAAATGCAGGTATTATTTAATACCGCTAACCAATCACTAAATTGGTTATGCGGCGATTAATTTTTTCTTATGCAGCCAACCGAACACTGTATTATCTTATGCGAGATTTTATGCTAGGATTAGTTATTCTAAACCATCAACCTAATGAGCCCTCAGTGTTTGTCAATGCACATTATTACTTATGCAGCGTGTAGTTGGTCCATTGTAGTGACTTTCGAATAGCGTACCCCAATTGTTGTAGACAACATCGGTAACTGGAATGTTTTGCTTCATTATTGCTGGTTTTTGGTTAATGGTGAGACTGAGCTTGGTCATCATAACGAGAACAGAAGCTGATATTCATTAGAAATCATGCCGGTAATTATTGCTTAATTCAGCTATAAAGTGACTGTAGCAGTACTGTGTGCGCACTGGCCTTATTTTCTGTAGTCTCCACTCTGGACTTCCTGATAAACATTGTGATATGATAGTTCTGGTCATCCTTGCTCAGTTGCTTTCCCTCTTGGGGTTTCTATCAGCTTTTTTACATGGTTCAGTGAAGTCACTCAAAAAGATGAGGATGAGGCCCTAGAGATTCAGGATGAGGTATATATTTTATATCTTTTGCGGATTACTTCTTGGTGTTTTTTCGTCCAATTTTCCATTTTATTTTGGGTGGTGGGGGTGGTGGGGGGTAGGGTTGATGGTGCAGTGAGCCACTGAGGTAAAATCTTTACTGAAATTTTTCATTTTGACACTGTCGCTTTTGCAGGTTGCTGACATAATTAAGGATGACTTGTGGCCGAACCCGCTCAGTTATTTTGAGAATGTTAGTACCACTTGAGCTTCTTATTTTCTGTAATCAAAATTTAGTCATGAAATGTGTTTATTGCCTTTGATAACATCATTTATACATTATTATGCCACAGGACCCTGATGAAGAAAATTTTGATAGTGATGAGGTAAAGATACATCACTGTTTCTTAAATGTGGTATCTGTATCATGGATAAGTACATGACTACTAGTTTTCTGTGACTGTAACATGTGTTTCTCTTTGAGCTTACATTATTTAAGAATATCTCGTTTCCTTATTTCCTCTTGGATTATATCGTCAAAGAAGTTGGCTCGCCTTTGTTGTAAATAATATCGAATATTCTTCCTAAGCTGTTGATCAGCTTCATAAGAAGGTACTTCCCAAGGTCAAAATCGTAGTAAGTATTAAAGGGTAATGGAGGTCAGAAGAAAACTGTGGAGTTGAGTGGAGCTTGAGGTCATAACTACGTTATCCTAAAATTCAAGTGTTTAATTTTGGTTGGGGATTTTATGTTGCATAGTAAACTGTTGAATAAGCTTGCTGAAATATTGGCATTAGATTGAGCGCTTACTAAGTGTTCTATAACTCCTAGCTTAAGCACATTTTGGGGGAAAACTGTTTGCCAAATATAACTTTATCCTTTCCTTTCTCTCCCCGCTAACTATGTCAATTCAATAGCATGATAGCGTACTCTCTACATAGAGGCATTTTGAGATTTTTAAGAATTTTTCTCCTTCTATGTCTTCAATAGAAGCATAATTCATGGAGGCTCTAAAATCTTAAGATGTGCGACCTCCTACATCTTTGTTGTGGTGGGTTCTCTCTTTCCTTTTAATGCTCATGCTGCATTTTCTAGATTATTGCGAGCAATTTTCAGCTTTGGGGGGGNACATCTTGCCTTCTGCAATAATGAGGCTGCCAACATGACTTTACTGGTCTTCCACTAATAAATGTGCCTTTGTTTCTTGTTTTTTTTGGGGGCAAAATGCGGTTGATTTCTAGTCCAGAGGGTTAGAATGCACCCGTAGAATATCATAAATAAAGAAAAGAGTAGGTATAAGTTTTGGCCAGGGGAAGGGAAGGTGTAATTGTTAGTTTTAAAAAGACCAGATTATCTACCTTCTACCGCTGAATCTTTATTTCATCAGAGACTCTGCATCCTTATTTTGTTCTTGGGCCCTAGATATGTCTCTCTTGGAAACTACAGGTTGTTTTGTTTGGGGTTAAGGATTTGTAGTAGGACTATTCAGTCTTGTTACCTTCTTTGATTAGGATATAAAAGCAGAGGGAATACTAATACTATCCTGCTGAAATGTGCATTGTAGATTCTCGTGAATGGGGCGCGAATGTTGAATACTTTCCTACTGTTGATTATACCAGGGGAAGAACTGAATGAGAGTGATTAATATCATAACACTGTATAACTAGCTTCATAAGTCTTTTTGAAGATAATTTTCTGTGGATTTACTGCTTGAATGCTAATGCAGGGAAAGGACAGTGACAGCTCTGAAGACGAAGAGGATGAGTTTAGTGATGTGTCTTATTGAAGATAGTTTAATCATCAGAGTTTTGGTATCGGTAAAGAGGCTCTTAATATTGCAAAAGAACAGAATAACTGTGGTGACTAACCCCCCCCCGGTTTTTCTTCTTAAAAGGTTAGTTACCTTTGGTTATAATCTACGGAAAAGGGTTATATTTACCCCTTTACTTTTAAAAATTGTTAGTATGTGCCCTTCGTTTGAGTATTCAACTATATATCACCCCACATTTGGCTGGTCCTCTCATCTGGAAAGTAGTGAAATCAACTCCATCGGACTCAATAAGATTAAAGTTGCGCAAAATCTCATGACACCTATCCAAGAAAATCATGGGCATTAATCGCGGGATCACCATCAATTGTGGAGGATCCAACTTCCGAAACCGATCCATTCTCTTCTGCTCATCAACAGACATAGCGGGCAATGGGCATGACCTCAGCCCTAACTGCATATATGTAATCCCACATTAATACTTTTTAACAAAATTGTGTTAAAAGTTACGGACCAATGAATTAAAAGGACACGTGGAAGCCATATACATATTTTTATATACCCGATTCTTTTAGCCAAACCCAGACCCTTATTCGGATCTTTCCCCTCCTTTGTTTTCATCTCCTTTGTTCAGCCAAGAAGACGTCCCATTACACAATTTACTTTCCGGCAGATAGCACATAAACAACACGGCAAGCTACAGAATACACGCAGAAATTTACATTACGAAATCAACATTCCAGCCGAAAGATACAATAAACTTCAGCAGAGCAAAGATATTTTCATTTTGTTCAAGTGCAATAAACTTTACCATCAATTAACTCATTACTAAGATTAGAGCTTTATTGATGTTACACGGGGCAAAAGTCATACCCATGCAGGAATAGAACACTAACACTTATATCAAAGCGATACAAGAAATGGGTTGAAAACAAATGCTAACAAAAAAACAAAATCAATCGGTCAAAAAGCAACTTCATTCAAGGAAGATTTGGGACTAGACATTAAACAAGCACGAAATCAAAACCTATAGTCACATGCTTAGGCACTTGCTCTCAGCCCCCACTCCCCAATCACAGTACTCTCTGTCTCTTTGCTATGTTATCTTTGTTTCTGATTTCCATCTTTCTTCCCTCCTTCATTATCTCCTCAAAGTTTCTCTAATTTTTAGTTGTTTCCTAGATCATTTGAAGTTTAGTCACATGCTTCTTCAACACTCTCAAGTTATAGTCGACGCAGGAACTAATAAAGTGGGCATGTGACTCGCTCTTCATAGGAATCATGGTGTTGAGTTATGTGTTTTGATGATTAACAAGTGTGTGCAATGAACTTATGCTAAGAACCAAGTTCTCATAGTAATTGCTGAAGGTCCTTACAAGGTAGTAACTTTTTCTGCCAAAGTTACAGTCCGATATTTATGGAAGGAATTCTTAATGCGATAAGGGACGTTGCCTAAAGATATTTTCAGATAGGAGTCACGAAGTATGAGGAGTCCTTATGATCTCAGGACTTATAAGTGGATTAGAGTTTGACTTTGTCTAGGACTCCCAAAGATCTTGGAGCTGTGACGGCTTAAATACTTTGCCTAAGGACTGTTGAATATTACTTTTTAGAGATATCACAAGAAGCATAGCATTTCCAGTTCAGAATACACTTGAAGTTGCTGACCAAGACTGTTCGTAGAGTTAGTTCATTATCTAGTTGAGTCAGTCAGGTTTATGTCTATTAGGGGATTGAGTTGTATTCATGTTTTCATTCAAACAATATTAGTTGGATTATTATCTGAGTTTGTAAGTTAGAGTAACTTGTAGTCATCATACAATAAGTAGAAGTAGTTGAAGTGTGGAGGAGTATTAGGTTACAAGAGTTAAAATCTGCGTATTTGGCTCATTTGTTCTAGTAAAGTTGAAATTAAAATCTTACGTGGTAGGTCGTGGTTGTTGCACCTTTGAGCTGGGTGATTTTTCACGTTAAATTGTTGTTCTTTACTTTTTTGTTGATTTTGTTTAAGCGCAAAGAGTAGGGTAAAGAACCAAGTTCTTTAGTAATTTAGGAGGGCGCTCAAACAACTATTGGTATCAGAGCAGGTTCTCTTAAACGTGGTTAACACCTCGACAGATCTTGGAAGAGATGAGTGCTCCACCCGGAATTAACGAAGGACAGTCAACTACTAGACCATCCTTGTTTAATGAAAAATATTATAGTTGGTGGAAGGTAAGAATGGAGGATTTCCTAACGATAGAGGACTATGAACTCTGGACTATAGTAAATCGAGAACCATTGACTCCCACCAAGCAAAATGAACAAAATGAAACTGTTCCCAAGGATTCCTCAGATTTTGTGGCAATTGCTTTTAGAATGATGGAAAAGAATGCCAAGGCTAAGAAAATTTTTAGTTGTGGACTTGGTCCTGACGAATACAACATGATATCTGCCTGCTCCAATGCGAAGGAAAATTGGGATGCTCTTCAAACTGCTCATGAATGGACAAATCAGGTAAAGAGATCATGAATTGAGTTGCTAATGAGAAACTATTTCGGGAGATTATGACCAGGTTCACTATCTTAACGAATCAACTAAAGTCACTGGGAAATGTATTCACTACTGAAGAATTGGTTAGTAAATTCTTGAGGATTCTTTCTACTTCATGGGAACCAAAAGTCACAGCTATTTAGGAAGCGAATGAGTTGAAACAAATCTCATTGGATGAGTTGATTGGAAATTTAAAAACTCATTGAATGAAATAACTGCAAATATGCAAGAAGGAACGAAAAAGGGATAAGGCGCTTGTTCTCAAGGATACATATGAAGATGAGTATGATGATGATGATCTAGATATCACACTGTTTGCTAAGTTCAAAAGATTCACGAAGAATTCCAAAATGGACTAAAGAGAGAAAACAGTAGAAAACCTAAGCAAGTTGACAAATACTCATGATGGATGCTACAGGTGTAACAAACTGGATTACATGATCAAAGACTGCCTAATGTGGAAAGTTGAATGGAAGAAATGAAGAGCCGAGAATGAAAAAAGGACAAGTTAATGGAGCATGATTCAAACAAAAACAAAGTTCTAGGTATGGGATTCACTGAGGCTATGAAACAAGCCTTCATGGCAGCATATGAAGACATTGGTGGTGAAAATGAGGAGGGGAAGGAATATGAGACTATTAGTTTGTATGCTTTAATTGAGTCTGAAGATTTCAATAAGCATGAACCTCCTGTACAGCTAGGAATGCATATTAGGAGACCCCTTATTTTTGATGGACATCACTTTGATAAATGTAAGATGCGTATGAAGGTGTTCCTCCAAGCCACTGATTATGACTTATGGGAAATTATCAATCACGACCCAATCATACCTATGAAAGTGAATAGCAATGGAGACAAGAGCATAAAAAGAAAGGAAGAATATAATGTTGAGGACCGCCAGATTATCCAAAAAATGCAAAGCTAAGGATATTCTTTACAGGAGCCTTCCAAGGAATATTCTCTAAATAGTTTCCTCCTGCTCCTCTGCCAATGACATATGGAGGACCTTGGAGACTGAATATGGAAATAAAAATATTGAGTTAACACTAATGGCAATTGAAGAGAACAACTCAGAAGAGGATGTGATAGGAATGATGACCATAAGTGATTCAGAGACTGAAGATGATCCAAGTCACGTAAGTATCTCTAATATGAAAGAGAACATTCATGCTATGTCTATGAAATAACTAATGGCCATAATAGTAACTATGATTGAAATTGATAGGTTAAGTGCTCGAAATAATCAGTTAGTAAGTAATCTTTCGTGTGTCAAACTTAATTTCAAAAACCTTGAAACAAACAAAAATGACCTTGAAAGATTGATTAAGGGTCTTAAGTATCAAGTTCTTGAACTTACTGCACTGAATTAGCAACAAGCTTCTAAAAATGGAAATGGAATAATCAGTGATTTGCAAAGTAACCTTGAAAAGGAACTAAGCGAGCTTAAGGATAGGTTATACGATGCTGATAACAAGAATAAGACTCTTCAAGAGAATCTTTAAAAACCAGAGTATGAACTATCTAGAATAAGCAAGTGGCATAGATTATATGATGCATTGAACTGGCTGAATGAAAACTGCAATACAAATCGGTCAAAGATTGGGTACAGGAAACCTATACCAAGATTTGATCCTAAGTATATAGGAATCTATGATAATAAAATGTGCACTCATTATGCAAATGTTGGACATTTCAGAGATAACCGTCCTACTTTAATTCATGCCCAGTTTAAGAACACCTTTGGATCATCTAAGAATGTGGCAGTAAAAAAGAAAACAAAAATCACTCCCTCTATTTAGTCTAAATGGATTAAGGTTAACAAGAATGTGACATCCAATTTCCTTCCTTTCTGGGCAAAAAAGGGGCTTGATTCATCCTCTATTTCATAAAAAGGGACCCAAGCTTGTTTGAATTCCTAAAGCTAACCTGTGATTTTTGTTGCAGGCTAAAATGAGAGGAAGAAATCAAGTTGGTATCTGGACAGTGGCTGCTCAGGACATATGACTGGTGAAAATAAGAAATTCCTCTCGCTAACATCCTTCCAAGGAGGGAGTGTATCATTTGAAAATGGAAAGAAGGGACAAATAGCTGGAATTAGTAAAGTTGGTAAATCATTCTCTCATGCTATATATGATGTGTACTGTGTGGTTGGACTCAAGCATAATCTCCTTAGCATATCCCAAATATGTGATAAAGGTAATGAGGTAAAGTTCAATTCAACAATCTGTACTGTCACAAAATTGGATACAAATGAAACTGTTCTGAAAAGTAAGAGATATAACAATGGCTACACGATATCTATTATGTCTCTCCCTCAAAGTGAGCACACATGTCTAAGTGTAGTGGAAGAATATCCACTACCGTGGCATAGAAGACCGGGCCATACCAGTCTGTCCCAGTCTTCTATGCTACCAACTTTTTAAGCTGGGACAGACTGGTGGCCCAGTCTTCTATGCCATGGTAGTGGATCATCTTCCACTACACTTAGACATGTGTGCTCACTTTGAGGGAGAGACATAATAGATATCGTGTAGCCATTTTTATATCTCTTACTTTTCAGAACAGTTTCANTTTATATCTCTTACCTTTCAGAACAATTTCATTTGTATCCAATTTTGTGACAGTACAGATTGTTGAATTGAACTTTACCTCATTACCTTTATCACACATTTGGGATATGCTAA